TGACTTTGCTTTAACATGACAATAATCTGGTAGCACTTTGCAATAAGGCTCCCCTTAAGGCATAATAAAATGTTTATCATTAATAATCGATCAAGTATTTTGAATTGAACTGAATTTTATAAAACTATGATTATGGAAGTAGAATCTTCTATTTGTGTTTTGCAGAACGCTGAAATTATTTGATAAACTTATAAAAAATCAAAGTAAATGCTGCATGTTGAGGTCAGCAGAACTCCATGGATTCAAACTCCTGAAGCTGAGCAGCAGAAGGTGGCAGAGGTTTTGTTTTTATCCTGAGCGATGTCAGCCGCCGTCGCCCTGCGACACGCAGCCTCTCGGCTTTAGTGACACTCCGTCCTGAAAGAGCCCTCAGGCTTTCAGGCTGAAAATGGATCCGCCTGAATCCAGCCTGCATCTCGTTTCTGTCTGCAGGCACTTAGAGGGCAGAGAGGAGAACATCTTCTGGCTTTTCTCTCTTCAGTTACTTTCATTCTCTCTTTTTTTTTCTTCCCCACTTTGACTCTAATTGACCTTTGAAGAAATGGGATGTCGAGATTTCAGGGTAAATTTGAGTCTCAGGATCGGAGCTTTCAGGAAGCAGTGATGGCTGCTTCCTGTTCTGCTGCTGTTGCTCTGGTTTCAATGAGCTGAGCGACGGACGCGCGTCAACGACTCGGTACGAGCCGCCGTCACCGGGGACGACCACATAAACACTCAGGCTGCCTGTGACCACGCAGTTCTACTCCACTCCAACAGGGGGCGACAGAAAAACCAAATTCAATACAGCACAGGAGGAGAAGAGATTTAAATATTTTAATATCTGACAGCCAAAATCAAAAGATTAAAGTGACTGTGCTGTTACCAGTTATTTGTTTAATTAATTTAATCAAATTAATAAAAATAAATTTGTTTAATTAGGAATTAATTAAATTAAGTAAATAAAAATGTACTAGCTTAGTATTAAAATGATAAAAATATTTATAATTAAATTAATAAAAAAAGTTGATAAATTTTAATAAAAATTTGTCTTAATTACATTTATAAAAATGTAATGTGTTTGAAATAATAGATTTTTAAAATACATTGGCTTTTTTTTTAGCTTTATTACATTTTTAGTTACATTAATTTGCTGTGTATCTGTGTGGCTGCATTTAATGAATTAAATTTCTTAAAAAAAAATAATCAATACAGTAAATTGATAATGAATTTCTTTCATTCAAATAAATGAATTAAAGATTTTTTGTAATCTGTTAATTAGACAAATCAAAGTTTAATTTCTCTAAATTTAATTAAATTAATTAAAAGTAATTTAACAAGCATACAAATATCTGCAAATTTTCATTTTTACCACCGTAGCACATAGGTCAAGGTAAAGGTGGGAATTCATTTCAGACACTCGTCCTTTGATAAAATTTGGAAATTTTCTGAGCTTGAAAAGTAAAATATTTAACTTTTCAAACTCAAAAATTTCCGCAATTTATATAAAAATTTCGGAGTGTTTTCAACCAAGTTTTGGACCTTTCAGGTCAGAAATTAAAGGTTTTTGTCAGAATTTTGCTCCTTTTTTCTGTTTCTACAGTAGCCGTGACGCACAGATACGTTTCTCCTGCACTTTGTTCTGCTCTTTTCTTCAGACGATTCTGTAACTTTTCCTATATGAAGTGGATAACTGCTCCTTATTTTCCTTCCACTTACCTTACCCGACTGCGAACTGCTTGACGACACAATGACCTTAATTATCCTGACTTCTGAAGTCTCGTTGGGCGTCTTTTCCCTGCTTTTTGTGCTGCAGCTCGGCTGGAATATGTGACAGCTAATTGAGCCCAGGGGAAGTTTGTGTTTGATTGTTTTCAGCTTTCTCTCTTTCCTTTCACTGAGTTTGCTTTTATCAACACCACTTATAGATTTGTCTGTAACTCCAGAAACAGCTTTAGTGCTTATTTTGCAGTTGCCTGTAGTTATTGATCACTAAAATGATGGTACATTTGAAGTGAGAATACGTTTTTATCTTCAGGAAATGTGGATTTCTTTAAAACCAGCAACAAGCTGCAGTGCAAAACGACGGCACAGCCTGTCCACTATCATGTATAATTAGTGACGTGACTTGTTAGCTGAAGTTTAATTACACAGCACAGATCATGCGGTTGTGAGAGCCAAGTTAACACAGACATCAATTTCATGGATCGCTCTGCTGTTTCTGACTGGAAAGTGCTTTCCATTTCATGCATGGCTTGTTCTAAAACCGAGCCAGAACTTACATTTCCTTCTGCTCTGACTGCACCGTGTCGGCGATCGACACGAACGCTGGCCAAACCACAACACTCTGCAAGTTGAATTAGCAACATGCTGGAACGTAAATATTTAAAAGTGTAACTTTTATCAAATTTGTTAAAATTGTTGCCATGTTGTGATGGTTTAATTTGAGACAGATAATCTGTAAAAAGATTGATCTCCTCTTGAGCTATTATAAACAACCAATCAGAGGCAGGAGGTGGGTCTTAGCGCGGTCAATCATCCTCATGTACTCACTGAAAATGTGTTAATGGTGGAGAATCAACTTTCCGTTACAGGAAAACTGTCATAGGCGGCGATGCTAACTAGCCATAGCATTCATGACAAGTACCTGCAGCGACTATGAGATGCTGATTGAGAGCGCTAAGACCCACCTCCTCGCTCTGATTGGTTGTTTCTAGTTAGTATGTTTCAATTGAACAAGAAATGAGAACGTTTGCTCATGCAACAAGTTGTTAAAAATGTTCCACTCCATCATCCTCTGCTGCTTCCTGTCTTCTTCTTCTTCATGGTTTCTGCCAGTAGTAACATCCGGGTGTTGATCATATGATTCGTGTTGTGAAAAGTGTTTGTTTCAGTTTTAGCAAAATTAGCACCAAAACTTTTTATAATTTTTTTTTAATTAACGTTTTTCCATTAAGTGAAATTATTTTCCAATGGAAACAACCAATGTGTGAGAGAGTTTGTTTTCCAGTGAAAGACTAGCAGTAGTGAAAGGAATCATCATTTTGTCGGATAATTATCAATATTCAGTAGTGGCTGACAGGTAAACGCTCACAGGAAATGGTGAAACATGCTGCAAACACATGAATGATGCAAACCACAGATTCAACTGGAAAATGCTGCAACCACCTGGTCTGGTTGATGAAGTCCATACTCAGTAATATAAGTATTAACATCATTCTGCTGTATTTCCATGATCTGGAGGGAAATATTGAGTTCTTCCTCTGTTGTTCAGCTGATGTGTGGCAACAGAAGCAATAAAATCAGCAGCAGACATTTAGAAATGAATCTGATTGTTATCTCACTCTAGATAAGAGAACAGATAATTTAATCAATACTAGAGACTTTGCAGAAAAGAAAAGCTGCATTTATTACCCTTTTTTCCAGAAGCTTCTCTTACTATCAACCTTTGCTGCATTTTCTTGTGTTTACATTACAATAAGGTGGAGTTAGACGTATTTATGGTTTGAAGAGTTTGGTCATAAATAAACATTTCATGCTGAATGTTGATTACATGAAGTAGAATTTCATCCCAGCAATTTTAATAAAAGACATGAATGTCATTATGTTTACTATCATCACTATTTAGGCATTTAATACAGTATTTATATTTTAAAATGATGCGTTCTCCTTGTTTGGGAGGGTTGGGAGAAAGTGTTCTCTGAAAATTGACTCTATGTATTTGGAATAAATCTAACATAACCAGAGTGTCTGTGCATCCTTAAAAAGTCTTGAATTCATGTATCTAAAATTAAAATAGTTTTGTGGTGGCAGGACTATTTAATCTTATATATTCTATGTAGCTTACTTTGTTCTTGCGAGACTTTTCTGTTATGCAAAACATTGAGTCTCCCTTCACTGCATTTTGTGACTTAAGGTAGTTGTGTCTACCAGTAACTAGCTGTTAATATGCTGAAGCTAGCTAGCTTGTATACGTCCATTATGGGTAAAGGCAAATTTACTGCCAGTTGGCTGGACCTTTCTGTCATGATACAGGTATTAAAACGTCTTAAATTTGAGTTGGTATAACCTGCAGAATCCCAGAAAGACTAACCTACACATTTCATCTTTGTCTGTCTATTTTTACTCCTCTGTCATGATCCAAGTCTTAAAATTCATTTGTAATGGTCTTAAAAAAGGGCTTTAAAAGTCTTAAATTTGAGTTGGTGAAACCTGCAGGTAAGACGATGTGTAAAAACTGTTGCGAATACTTTCTGGGTCCACTGTAAGCTAGTTATCCTCCAGAAGTGCTGAGCAGTAGTTTAAGAAAGACTGGAGAGGACATGTGGACAATAAATAGGTAAAAAGTCTCAAAGCACCTCTAGCTTGGTGAGCCCTGGAGATTTCACTGGGCGATTTATATTAAAGAAAGCATCAACCTTTTTTCATACCGGAGTGGAAGCAATATAACACATCACCTTAGTGTATTTAGAATTAGAAGTGGAATTAAGCATTTAAGAGGGAAACTCTCTTTGGAGCCATTCATACCCATCCATCAGCTGCACAGGGAGTCGAGTGGAACAAAGGTCTGATTCTAAGGCGCAAACTCAGCAAAATGTTCTCCAACGACTCTCTACAAAGCAAAGTCGTTTTCTCTGGTAGCTTTAAACTGTTCACAAATCATTTAGTGTAACTTTATGGATGCCTTGTTTCAGCCTTATTAAGACTAATTTGAATTTGACAGATTAACTTTAGCAGAACTGATTCAGATTCTAACCTGGATCTGGTCTCTTTATTCTCACGTTTGCTGGTTCACTGGGTGCAGACGCCATCGCCGAACTGGGTGAAACAGAAGAGAAGGTTTTATGTTAAAAGGGAGCGATTGATATTCATCTCACACTTGTGCACTTAGTCCTCCACTCCCACTTGATTTGCATTAACATCATTTAAAATAGAGGCAGAAAGAACTCTCTGAGGAGCGAGTTGCACTCCACTACATGAGCGCAGTGACTTAACATGTGCTTTTTCTCTTCTCAGGCGTGAAGGGCGCCAGGATCTGACAGCGGCGACGCAGACAAAGGCTGGAGCGAAGGCAAACCGCACAAACACATGGAGGTTAGACGAGCTTTGGCACGCGACCTTTTCTGGAGTCATGTGATCATGCATATTAATGTTTAATGGAAATATTACATGGCTCAAAATGTGGAGACATTTTTATTTAAAGTTTAATCTGAACACCATTACAAAGAACAGCAGAGGTTAAATGTGACATAAGGTGGTTTTTTGTCTCTTTTATAGCTCAGTTTGAAGACTTTTCTTCTAATTAGTTGTTGGTAACCAAAGTCACTCTGTTGACTTTTTAACAAAATAGTTTCAGACTTTTTCAGGGTCTCCATGCATCCTTAAAAAGTCTTAAATTAATGTTTCTAAAATAAGACCTTAAAAAGTCTTAAATGAACTTAAGACTGTTTCATGCTTCTAAAATAAGGTCTTAAAGTCTAAAATATGGCCTTAAAATGTCTCAAATTCATTTTAAAACCTAAGTCGGCCTTTGATACATGAATCACAGGTCTTAATTTTGTCATGGCAGGACTATCTAATCTATCTGTTTCTTTGTCTTGCCAAGTTGTACGCAGTCATCTTCGTTGCATTCTGTCCAGTTGAAGCTACCGCTAACTAGGTGCTAACATGCAGCTAGTTAACTTTTACTGCCCATCATCTCTAAAGCAATCAAAAAACAAAAACATAGTTTTTGAAATGGTTTTTTTTTGCCATTTCAGAGCTGATTAAAGCTAAACTTTATAATTTTCTTTATTATCCAGCCTACAGCTGAACAATAAAAGATTTCCTGCCTTTTATCCGTTATGAGAGTTTTCATGTCTTAATAACTTCATCAGTTTTTCCCTCATTTTAAACAAATATATTTCCAGATTCATAAAACTCAGTATTAGATTGACATTTTAAGGGCTAAACATAAAAAATGCCTCGCAGCAGCAGCGATGTTACGAGGGAAGGCCTGAAAAATGAGTGTGTGGATAGAAAATACAGTAATATTTTAATTTTCATACAAATTATTAAAAAAAAATGCTTGATTGTTTCAGGGCTGAGCAGTGGAGGAGTTGGCAACAGAAAGACAGTTTACCAACAAAAGACTTGAAATAATTTGAAAGAATCAGGATAATAATTTCATTTCTGTGTCATCATCTTTTTATGGCATACACATAAAATATAAATGAAACTTTATTAGAAAATGTTTTGTAAAAATCAGGAGAAAAAAGGAGAAAGTTGGTAAAAAGTTTCATGCGTCTGTTTTTTTACCTGCAGAAAGAGAGAAAAGAAAACCTGAGAAACCAGCAACAAACGACATGGGAATAAATAATAAGCAGTTATAAAATCACTGATCAGTTCACAAGTTAATGCAAGCTGAATTTGGAAACAACCTTGTCACCAACATAGAGTGCATCTTTAACAAAATTGACTTTATTATCATAGGTGAGGAAACGGCTACAAACACAATAAATGGATCTGCTGTGAAACAAAGCATGAATATGTGGAAAAGAACATTATTTATAAAAGTAGAGTGGAGGGTCTATGGTGCTGTGGGTCTTTATTAATAAATGCCAGGATATTTAAAATAAAGAAACATAACAAACCCTGTCAAAAAGTAAGAACATAAGACAAAAACATAGGATTTGTCCTCTGGTTCAGAACCGGAGGACAAATCATTTCTTCCTTCATTACAGTTTTATTCAAATTACTTTAACAGTCATTTCTGAAGTTAAATGTATAAAATCCTCCTTGGTGCTGCTGCTGTACATGAGAAAAATGAGCCCACTGTTCATAAAACCAATAAGTTGAAGATGTGTCTAATTACATATTCATATGCTCTTTTAATTTTGCAAACGCGCGTTCGGCACAGTAACTGGTGGAAACGAAGCTCCCGGATGCTGCGTTTGTAAGGGATGATTGACAGTGACAGCTTTCCGTACGAGCTTTACAATGATGAGCTACTTTACAGTTTTACACACAATAAACTCCTGATTTATTCTGATTTATTCTGATGCACCGCGCTGACATTCACGCTGTTTTCCTGACTGTAATGCTGCCTCTGCTTTCATGCTAATTGGACTGGATGCTCATATTGATGATGTTTCTGTTTGACTGTATTGAAACAGACTCTGAAATCTTTACTTTCTGCATCTATTTGATGCTGTAGGCGCTTTACACCTCAGTGTTTTTGTCAAGTCAAGGTTGTTTTCTGCAGCATCGACAGAAAAAATCAAAAGAATAACAGTTAAAACGGTAAAAATCCAGCTGTTGAATATGAAATATTGATATTTATGACTGACATCAACATCTGTTTGCATATTTAATACAGAAAAATAAATATCCTCTTTTGGGTTTTTCACATTCAAAACAATTTGACTCTCAAAGATCCAGTGAGTGTAATCTGAATTTTAAAAACAAGCTTTTGGAAGCTGCATAAACACGTTCGCTCCATGTTTCCCTGGAATCATCCGGCTATGAATGGAAATGAAGCCAAAGCAGAAGCTGCATCTCGCCTGCTGCTTTGCTATTTTTGCTCACACTCACTTACATTTGCAGTAGATTCGTTTTTATCCAGACAGCAAAGTTTTCCTCTGTGGAAGAAGCTCTACAGCCGATGTTTACACCGCGCTCAGCATGAGGAGAGCCATCATGAACAGCCTCGCATGTAATGGAGCATGTAGCCACTAAATGCTGCTTCTGCTTCACTAACATGAAGTACACTGCAAAAACACAAAGTACTTATTGGTCCAATTTAGTGAGAAATAAGTGCACTTGAAATATGAAAAAACTGATTTACAATGAACTTTTCAGCAAGAAATAGGAGTTTGTTTTAAGAAAGTAATTCTCTAATATTGATAAAAAATTGTTCTAGTTCCACTGGTCGATTATTTCACTTAAAACAAGAAAATTTCCCCATCATATAAGTTAATTTATCTACCAATAAAACAAGTAGTTTTTCATGAATATTAAGGAATTATCGTGTTAAACAAGATTTTAAATTTGCTGAAAAGTTACCAAAATTACTTGGTAAGATGAAATGATGACAAAAGTTTTGAAGAAAAGGAAAAATCTCTTTTTACTATATTTACCATAACTAAGCATCAATCAGCCACAGAGATAAATATTTAAACATAAAACAGGCAAGACGTAAAAATAACAACAGAGAAAACACAAATGTGTAACATTACGACACTCTACTGACAGAATGTTACATTTTATTACGTTCTTAACAGTAAACAATATTTACATCTAAATTTCCTCCAGATGAATCAGAAATTCGACCAGATTAAGTTTAGATTTATAACCTGAACCAGAAGTTCTGGTCGGATCGGGTCCAAACCTTTTACCTGACGGTCATTTCAGGGTTTGGACTCTTTTAATAAAACAATATATTTATCAAAGAGGCATCCAGACATAACGTTTAGTTCATTTACATCTTAGACGCCAAACTGTTTGGTGCTGAAAAGCAGCAGAAAGTCTTGAAGAGTTTTGTTGATTTAGGTTTAAAATCATTTCAAACTGAGTGTAATGAGAGATGTTTTATTTTTTTAGGGCTAGAAGTGTGCAGGGAACAGGGTTTATTTTTATTTTATGATAAAAATAAACCCTGATTGTTTAGTCAAACAGATTCAGTAATCAGGACATTTTTACATTTTCCTGGAAATACTTGAGCTCACAGCGGGTCGTTCAGAGCTGCACTGGAGGGATCCGTCATTTAACGGAAAAAATAAAAAAAGCTTTCTTCTGAGGAGATGGTTTCATTGTTTAATGCTAAAAACGAAGAGCTAATGTTACAATTTCCCTCTCTGTTATTAAAAATGATACTTGAACTGCTGCAAAAGTATTCATACTAATTAAACTTTTACACATTGTTTTTTACATTTCAACCATAAACTTCAATATATTTTAGTGGAATTTTACAAAATACCAATTCATAGTAGTCCATGATTTAAATTGGAGAAAATTTAGGAGTTTAATCATAATTTTTTGCTAATTAATAAATAAATATTTTGGTGTGCATCTTCCGTGTTAAATCTATACATTTCTACTGTGTTACTTCTGTTTTTAAAATGAAGAAAAATAAAACATTTGCAAAAATAAAGTGTAAAATATTACGACGGCATTTTAGGGCCCTTATAGATAGATTTAAAAAAAAAAAAAAAAAAAAGCTAATTCGCGCCAAAAAATCTCAGAAATTTTCTAGGAAAAAATTTAAATTTCTGAGTTTCAGAAATCCAAAGTTTTCTCATTTCAAAACTCTGAAAGTTATCAAAAGTATAAAATTAGAATTAATTTGCTTTTTAGAAATTACCAAAGATTTTTCTAGAAAATTTGAGTTTTCAAACTCATAAATGTAATTATCTTCTCAAATTTCTGAGATTAATCTCAAAATTTCTGAGTTTTTTCTAGAAAACTTTCTACTTTTCAAATTCAAGGTTTTTGCTAGACAATTTCTTAGATTAAAAATTTCTGATTGTTTCTTGCAAATTTCAATATTTAAACTCTTAATTTGAGCTTTAACAAACTAATTTTTCAAATTTAGAAATATAATTTTTTTTCAGGAAAGTTTGATATTGATCTCCAAATTAGATTCTTTTTCTAGCAAATTTTCACCTTTTTGAATTCAGAAATGTCTGTTTTTCTAGAAAACTTCTAAAAATGTTTACTACATGCGCTCACTCTGCCAGTCACCAGAACCTCGCTGTTCATTCAGGCGGTCCGAAGCTCCTCCATGTTGGACGAACTCTTCATGTTCGCAGTCTGAGATCGGAGGCAGCTTGTCCACATCCTCTGATACGTTTTCCTTCTCCATCTGATGCGGGTCGATCCCGACAGCAGCCATTTTCTCTTCATTTTCCTTTTTGTTGGTCTGGAAGCTTTGGGTCCACTAAGCTCTGCTCTGTCTTGCCTACCAAGATGGCGCGGCTCACGTCCGGTTCAGACTTGTGGGAAGTTTGTGTTACCAAACCTGATTGAGACTGAAGTGTTTTCCTGAGCAGAATGTCTCCGTGCAGAGGGAGGTTCTGGTTTATGTGGGTCAGGGAGTCGGTGTTGGAGTCGTTTCCTCCGGGGCGAAGTGCCAGCAGTGACCACTCCTGCTCTCCTAATTTATCAACCCGGCCCGGCATGCAGTCATATTTCAAGCTGCTTCTTCATTACCTGTGATCCTGTGCAGCCGGACCGGCTCTGCTCTGCAGCGCAGGGTGTCCATTAATCCCACACACTTTAATCTTCACTATCTTAATGATGCCGCATAGAAAGACGAAGCAGCAGCCAGTACAATAGTTTTTGTTCTCTTAAAATATGTTGAACCGCTGGAAACACTTAATCTTGTTATTTCCTTCGCTGTTTCCAATCAAACTCTTTGTAATGGAGGCCTGGGGAAGCAGCAGAGGAACAGCATGGAGTCAAATGGATTAACACTAAAAAGTTTTGCAGTAAAACTCCCTTTTTTATTTATTTTATTTATTTTTACAGCGCTCCAAAACAAGAGGAATCTAAAAAGCATCTGGGATGTTTTTGCTGTTAGTTTTACGGTTCAGTGGTTTCACACAGTCTTAAAGGCTTAATGGCTATTTACTGAAATAAAACAACTAGTGCTGTTTATTTAGTTTCAGTGAAACGTTCTGAGCATTAGGGACACGCTGACAAGATAAAAATAACCAAATTAAGACAATTAAGTCATAATATCAGGTCTTTATTCTCATATTATTCCGACTGAATTCCAGTAATATTATGAATTTATCAGAATATTGACTTGCCAGTATTTCAACTTTATTCTTTTAATATTTCTGTTTTATTCTCTGAATATTCTGAATTTATTCCCTTAATATTACCACCTTATTGTCATAATTTTGTTTATTTTTGACCCAGCATATGTGTTGTAATGTGTTGTAGGTTTGACTCCGCCTCTCAGTTACTCACAGTGAATCAAAGGAGCTTTGAAGTCTTTGAGGATTAAACAATTATCACACTGAAACACAAAAATAGTCATAGCAAAGAAATACTTTGGCAAAAGAACGTCTCAGGTTAAAATCCCAAATTAAATCAAGCGTCTCTATAATTTACTTTGTAATCAAAGCTTTAATCTGTCATAAAAGTAATTATTACGCTTTCTAAATTCGTCAACAGGAACGACAGAAACGATCCGTCTTCGTGACCTTCGTCTGAGTCTGTAGAGGAATCAGTTATTCAGTAGCAAAGCGCAGATCCTGCAGGTTACACAGTGAATGTCCTGAAAGGGAAACAAGGTCACATGTTTTATTTCTGTTGCTGACTGATCAGGTGCTTAGCATGAGAACAGCAGCACCTCAGCTAACAATCACAGCAAGTCTGCAGGTTTTCCACTCAGAGGCAACACAACCAGTGCAGCAGATTAAGATTTCATCCAACTAAATTTGAAAATGCACACAAAGATCATTATCGTAGATCTCTGGTCTATACAAAACATGTTCATTTTATTTTTTGCTCAAAATCATTTTTAGATTTTAGGGTGCCTTGTTGCTTTAAGTCCAAATAATCTGCTGCTGGCCACGTCCTCTACCTCGACGTTTACACTCGCACTTGAACCTCGCTGGACACAGTTGTTTAATTATACATCCGTGTATGTTTGAAAAGCGTTAGTGAAGCCTTCTGCACAACCAACAAGAATGCAGCAAGTATTTCAGGATGGTTGTCAACAACAAAACACTTGTCATTTCCAGCAGCCACTAAAGCCAGCTGACTAAAGGTACTGGAGCTCTGCCTGGGTTGCTAGGTAACGGTACTGGAGCTCTGCCTGGGTTGCTAGGTAACGGCGGAACTCGGCTGGGGTTGCTAGGTAACGGGTAGAGTAATGTGAAAACGTGAATTTTCCATAATACATCCACTTTAATTGTTCAACTTTTCATTTTGTGGTAAACAGTAATCAGTAAGCCAAGTTAGAAACTGATATATTGCTTTTTTCCCCCAGGAAAACGTTAGCGTTAGCATTCTGGTTTTAGAATAAAATGTCCACAAATGTTTCAGTAGCTGCGTTTCCATTCACCATATAATTTTGTAATTTGACATTTTGAAAATAAATTTGCTTAATGAAAATAACAATTTTGAAAAAACGTATTTTTCGATGAAAAGTTTTGGCGCCAGCATTACGTCGTTTTTCAGCTGTAACAAAATTGGTTTGCTTTGCAAAACTGCAATGGAAAAACTTTTAGTCACGAGTTACATGATCAACAACAGGATGTTGCTACTGCCAGAAACGGCAGAAGAGGAAGACAGGAAGTAGTTGGAGGATGATGGCACTGCATACTTTTACAGGCTTATAATCTGAACAAACTTATTTAGATGTTGTTTTAATTGTGATTCTTATTTAATGGAAACACAGTGATTGAAATATTGTGTTTTTTCAACATTAGTGAACTATTGACAAAGTTTTGTTCACATTTGTAATCTAGACGCAGCTAACTCATGACTGGGGAACAAATACTTTTATTTAGCCTTTTTTCATGAAATATGAATAATAAATAAACTGACATAATTATTGTTATGTAACTCCTTATGAAGCAACAGTGTAATCTGTATTTTTGTGTTACTAATACATTTTGAGCTGATTTAAATAATTGGTGCAGAACATTTTGGTGAAGATCAGCATTTATATTTCCTAATTTATTTACAATGCATGAAAGAGGTTTGTGTGAATTTGCATTAAAGGTTGAATATTGATGAGATCATTTATCACTTTCAGCTGGTTGTCAGAGCTTTTCCATTCCCTCCCTCTAAACACCTGATAGTTGAGCCTTTTCTGAGAAATGAATGTTTTTGTCTTGATTGCTTTAATTGTTATGGACTTTTAATGAATAAACATGTCAAGGATGTTCATTTCAAACTGATTGCGCCCAATTTTATTGTGTCATTTTCGCAGTGTAGAGCTACTTAAAACAAACCACCAGCTTCCAAATCAGATAATTGCATTTACTTTATTTTGATTTTCTGTGACAAAATAAGAACAAGAAAAAGAAAAAAGGTTTAGAAAGTAAAGACGCTGTGGATTCTGCTTAATGGAGCTTGGATGTAATAAAAATATCTGCTTATTGTTCCTTTCTGTGAATATGGATTGGTCATGAAAAACCTATTGGAAAATCTTAACAAAAACCACTTTCACAATAATTTACTGAACCAGCCAGGTTATTTCTGAATGTGCACCTGATCAAACGGAGAGGAACACAAAGAGAACAGTGGCTCAAAGCGAAGGTATGTCTAAAAATAACATAAATAAATAATGATAACACGCTGTGATGGAGACGGTCTGCATACTGTCTGTCTTTGTCCACCTGCAGCGTCTCACTCCCTGGGATTCGGGTTTGTTTCTAACCGAATTTAGAAGTTTGCTTCATGATTTGACTCTTCCTGAGATCCAACGTATTCACACTTCCTGTTTTCTGCAGTAAACTTTGTTCTGTGCTTCCAAACAGGAAGAAAAATAACCCAAATATTGATCAGAAGACCTGATTGGTGCTAACAGCATATTACTGTAAAACCTTTCAGATTTAGCCTTTTAAACCAATTGTTGCCATAAGATGTTACACTATTTTTAAAGTGATTGTGTAGGAAATCATAACCTGAAGACTTTTCTGTTTGTGCGTCTCACACCAGCCATCAACTGGATGGAGATAAAGATGCGACACAGACTAACAATCATCTTAACGGTTAGCATTAGCTTAGCATTAGCTAATTTTATTATGTGTTTAGCGTTTTAGCGTTAATGGAAATAAGATTCCTGAAACTTTTTGGCTAGCTGTTCCCACCACTGGATAAAACTACTGCTGATTTTAGTATAGAAACAAATATCCTCCATTACAACACGGTGGCCATTTTGTATCAAGAACATTAATGTGGGTTTTAGTACAGCTATACTGGTCTCAAGAAAAATAATAGTGCCAGTCTGTTAAGTATTATAGTAGCATTTTCTTAATTTAAGAATATTTTTCTACATGTTCAGAAAATAATCTATTTGGTTTGTTTTAAGTAAAACACACAAATTTTAAGATGCTTGCGGGTTAATTTTGCTTAGATGTTTTTTCTTGTTTTGGAAAATCTTGACAAGATTGATTTTCTTTTTTTGATGGCAGATAATTTTTATTTTATGAAAAATATACCCTGTACTTTTTTTTCTTGCTTTGAAAGGGGTGAGAAATCAGATCATCAGTAAATGTAATTTCTGTGGGATCAATGATGTGATTTGGAACCGAAAACAAAAATAAACTTGACATCTTGAAAAATGGCTGCCATCTTTAATTTTTCAGCGGCTAACATTTCTTTTGTTGTTTTTATTTTTAAATAAAAGCAGGCCCACCTGTTCCAAGTTGGGTTCTTGTATCCACATGTGAAGGATTCAATTATCTGCCGCAGCGCGGCGGGTGCCCCTTCCTGCGCAGCGCGGCGCTCTGTTTGCCTTCCATTTGCCATACAAGCACCAGGCCTGATGTCCTACAAGGGTAAACACAGAGAAAGGTCAGGGAGGTATTGACACAGCCATGCTTAGGATGGTGACATTTGAGCCCCAGTGTGTGTGTTTTATTAAGAGTTCAATATCCCCAGGATTCGTCGCTTGGCCTACATGCATATGAGCGCTGCTAATCACAGGTCAGCTAATCAACCTGTTGCAGGACATCAGTGACCAGGCTGAGTGTTGCTGGGCAGAGAGGAGATTTTTCAGGATTACCTAAAGAGTAGCAGATCCCTTGGCTAACCTTCTGTGACCTTTGGAGACAAACGCTTACAAATGTTATAGCTGTATAATGACACAGAGGTGTTGTAACACACTTATAACTGCATTTAGCTCAAAATGACTCTCCAGGAGGCAGCTCTGTTTGAAAGGCCAATATATTTTTCAGGGTTTCTGCAGGTTTCACCAGCATAAGACTTTTTCTGAATGCAATTTAAGATCTGTGTCATGACAGAAATGTGCAAAAGACGATCACAGATTATATATTATTAGCAGCTGGCTAGCGGTAGCCTCATCTGCCTCCAGACGTTGTTTGTGTCACTCAAATTTTTGGCTGAGTTTAATATGAGTTTAAGAATATGAGATTAAATAATCCTACCTCAACAAAATTAAGACCCGTGATTAACACATTTAGGACCAGCTAACATTTTTAAAATTAAAAACATTTTATGACTTTAGATTAATTCAAGACTTAAAAAGCTACTTCTTCTTTTATTTTTTAGAAACATTGTCTCACTTTATAATTTTTTTTTATATATTGAAAGATCTACTAAATAAAATAATTATTGACCAAATTGATCAAAAAGTAGGTCAAGCTGTCAGTTTCAGTTTCAAGCGTCTTGCATTCTGAGGTGAGTGAATCACCACCAGTGCTGGCAGCTTGGTCTGGTGTGACATTAGTAAATTTATTATTGGGTCATTTTGAATAAGATTCAACTCTGAATATAAGTGATAAAACTTTTCTGTTGCCAGTTGTCCTTATTTTAGTTCTTTGACTGTAGGCATGTGCATTCAGTGGGGAATTGAGCAGTAAGTGCATTATGCTTTTGCATAAGAATTAAAAAATAGGTTCTATATTTTATGTTAAACTGCTCTGCATTTTAACATAAAATGCTCGGAGGGGCAGCAGAGCGAGGAAACTGCCCAGAGCGACTAAAGATTCATGCAGGGATCTTCAGTCTCAGGCTAAATTCACACCAACTCTTACCAGAGAAAATCATCATTCAACATAAAAATTGTTCAAGCATTTTTTAACGCTTGAACAAATGATTAGTTTGAGTGTGCACTTGTTTTTTTGCATCCCTTTTCATCACATATCACACATCCTTTACAGTTGCATTGTAAAGTGTCAAATATTATACTTTGAGATAATTTGTCATGATTTAATTTACCTCATGGGGTAGAAACTTTTGTGAACCATGATGCAAAAATAATTTAACATTTTTGGTAATTTGTGATTTTTCACAGAGATATCTTTGAACTTTTTCAAGATGGCTGCTTTCACCGGGTGGCTGGAATTTAATGCTTAAATTAGACTAAACAATGGAGTAAAACCATCCAGAAATGTCTGGCCACACGAAGCCTTAACCTGGCGCTCAGGTATTACAGATGCCAGTGGAACCAGTGGAGATTAGAGACTCTGGCCAGTTTAAGTGAGGAAATAAATGCAGATTACTGCAGGACGGCGTTACTGTACCACTTGTGTTGCTCTTTATCTGCTGCCTCTCCGTCTCTGTCAGGCTCTGAAGGTGAATCCTCGTTCAGCTCAGCTGCTGCGAGGAGATAACACATTATCACTGCTCAGATCCCGTCCAGCCTCCGCTGGATCAGCTGGCACACACAACAAATCACTTGGTAGCTAATTCAGTGGGTACTTACCTTCTTTAAAGTGCAGACATTTAGATAATTATTGATTAGTATTATTGTAAGAATAATAAATATTTAAACCCATCTGCTATTTATAGACACAGTGCAGCGTGACGGCCTGTCTCCCTGCTGGAGGCTAAACAGCTGCTGACAACTAGCACTGGATTTAGCCGTCAACTTGTCAACATAAATGCTGAAGAAAAACGGAAGCAGAGCTTTGATACTAATTGTAAAAATAACAACTAGATAACGAAGTAGGCCAGTTATGCTAGCTTGACTATGACGACCTTAACATGTAGATGTGCTGTGGAACTCGGTGTTTCGGTTCAGTTAAAAAGTAAAAACAGTCGACCTAAAACATCAACTCAGTCATCAGTAGATCAGGTGTTTAAATTAGCTGAGCTAGCTTAGCTTATAGCAACGGTAGCTAATCTCCCACAGCGATCACTGATTAATAATCACAGAATAAACATCAAGCCTGAAAACATCAAACTGTAACGGACTGAATGTTCTGATCGTTGTGTGGGAAATGTTTGCGTGTTTTTTTGGTTTTGAATCCTGACACGTTTGGGGGCGTTGTTGTCAGTTGCTATGGCAACGCATCTGCGCGTAGCGTAGCTGACACTAGTAGACTGCAAAAGAAGCGCTTCGCTAAACAGGAAGTGCTAACTCCACGACTTCCGGTTTCATGATTTTCAGAATTAAATTGAATAAGTGACGTAAGATGCACTAAAAAAAAAAAACACTGTTGCATTAAATAAACAACGGCTCTTAAGGAGCGTAACTTTTCTCTTTTTAACATATTAGAGGAGCGATTACATTTTTATATTTCTTTTATAGGTCTTAGTAATGCAGTCAAATAGGACAGCCTCTGGATTTAATGCTGGGTTTTATTTACCAAGTTCAGGTCCGACTCCTGGTTGTCGAAGTGGCAGATAGAAACTCCCTGCTGCATTCAAGGAACCTGAGAAATAAATTAGTTTCAGTGATTGTGATTGTTGAGGTAATTGATCCAAACTTCCATATCTGTGTGCTGAAAGTAAGTGAAACTTTGATTTTTGGATCAATCCCATTTCATCAGCCGCTGCAATCTCTCAGCCTGATCTGCAGGTTGCCAGAAATGACTGGTTTCAACCCAACAACAGGCGCTGCTGTGAAGTACTGGTTTGACTGGGAACCGGAGAAGTGAATAAATATGGCAACTAATAACTAGTAATTTAATCCTTATGGAACAAAGTCAAGGCGCAGGGGCCAAATCTGGATCGCCAAAGCTTTTCACACAGCCCTCTATACAATACAGACATAAATAATAACTTTCAGACTGCAGTGGGGCGCTGTAAGTTTTATGAAGTTAAATCAGAGCTCTCTTTTCTGTATACTCTCAAAATGACATAAATGTGAAAAAATGTTCAATATTGTTTTATTATTGAATCCACAGAAAACTATTTATTCATATTTTATCAGTTTAACAGGTTCTATCAAAACACACTGGCACAACTGGAGAACATTTATCATGTTGATGTGGCCCAAAATTAAAATGGGCTTCTTACCCAAAGGACATGTTTGTTACAAACATTTGCATAATTATCATTTTTAAGCATAGCTCATTCTGGAAAGTCCCTGAAATCTTCTTTCTGAGACATCATATTTTCAGGTGAATCACCCACATTTTGGTGATTTGAGGCTAAACTCACACCAGCTCTCACCAGAGAAAATCGTCGTTTCAGACGGTAAGAAATCGTCTGAATGGCGATTAAAACTGCAAACCCGATCATCTCCGGACGTTTATGAATGACTGCGCTCTTTTAATACACCTGTGTTGCTCTGCAGAGCATCTTAAAAATGAAACCTGATAACAAAAAAGAGAAAAGTGAGGGAGAGGAATGGATGGGAATTGAGAGAGAAAAGGATGGAGAGAGTGTGTTTTCCATCAGAGTCAACCTCGCAAGGCAATTTGGGCCCCCATTTCAGGAGCCTAATGGGAGATGGACAGTGATGGACAGCGCGTGTGGGTTACTTATTAATCTGGGAGAGGCAATTGGAGAACCTCTATCGACCTGCAGTAAATTAAATAAGGCCTATCCTGAAATGGCATTATTCTCCCTCAACTCTCCCTCTGCTCCTCTCTCCTCTCCTGACCTGCTGCGACGGATTAGAGCGAACACTACGGCGAAATCTGGACTCCGTGAAATGATGATGGATATTCACCGCACACTCTGCTGAGGATCACAGAGCTTTGGCTAACGACCGCGGACTAATCAGGCAGGAACGAGTCGGGAAAAGCAACTCCAAGGTTTCTGCACTGTGACGCGTTTCAGCTTTACGGTTCTACTCACACAGAATGCTAAGCTAACGCTAGGCTAATGCTAAGCTAGTTTAACATTGTGTCCATCATAAGCATAAAACTTTAGAGCCAAATCAACATTTAAAAAAATTATTTTTGGGTAAATATCCACTGTGACGTTTGTTGTCACTTATACAGAACTACCGTTTCATATCTTTTCTTCTGGGTCTTAAAATGAAATAAGTCTTGCAAAAAAAGGGATAGTGAAGTTATGCAGCCAAAATGAACAGCAGTGATTTATTTAGCCTGTCAAAGGGGAATAAAATGTGAGCTCAATCATATTTTCACCATATTTGTTAATTTGTTAACTTTAACAAATTAAATGAACACTACAAAATACAAAATTATACCAAGTATTTTGGCCTAGTTTGTTGTGAAAGTGTCTTAATACACTTGAAATAATGCAAAACTAACCTAAAAGTCACGTTTCAACGAGAAACAGGAGCTTATCTTAGGTCAATTATTCCTTAATAATTGATATTATTGAAAATCTGCCAGAGGAACTGAAAGTTTTTAATCAATATAAATAAGCTAATTTATCTTCCTAAAAAGTTACTTGACAGCTAATTTCGTCGTATTTCAAGTTTACTAAGATATTTACACTAGAAACCAAATATTTCTTGCTTTTGCAACACAAAGTGTTATCCATACATTAATCAATCTTTGTCACTAAACAAAGAATATATTAGGAAATAATATGTCACATTGTATTGTCAAAGTTTAATGTAATTTTTCAAAGGAACTACACTGCTCAAAAAAATAAAGCGAACACTCAAATAACACATCCTAGATCTGAATGAATGAAATATTCTCATTGAATACTTTGTTCTGTACAAAGTTGAATGTGCTGACAACAAAATCACACAAAAATCATCAATGGAAATCAAATTTATTAACCAATGGAGGCCTGGATTTGGAGCCACACACAAAATTAAAGTGAAATGTTCCCTTTATTTTTTTGAGCAGTGTATTTAAAATCTGCTAAAAGTGTCATTTATTATATTTACATTTAAAAACCAGTTTATTCTCAGTTTGTGGCTCTGCAGGCTGCAGACTGTGAGCGATTCGATGTTTCTGACGGCTGTTTAGTGGAGAAAGACGCTCAGCGTGACGCACCGACAGAAACAAAGAGCTTCTCCATCAAGCACAGGTCCTTGGGAAACAAAACGCCGAGTCAGCGCTCAGTGAGCCCACAAACTTCTTTAGGTGAGTGAACTCTCTGTCTCTGTCTCTCTCTGTCTCTGTCTCTCTGTCTCTGTCTCTCTGTCTCTGTCTCTCTGTCTCTGTCTCTCTCTGCCTCTGTCTCTCTCTGTCTCTCTCTGTCTCTCTCTGTCTCTCTTTCTCTCTCTGTCTCCGTCTCTCTGTCTCTCTCTCTGTCTCTCTTCTCTCTCTCTCTCTCTGTCTCTGTCTCTCTCTGCCTCTGTCTCTCTCTGTCTCTGTCTCTCTCTGCCTCTGTCTCTCTGTCTCTCTGTCTCTGTCTCTCTCTGTCTCTCTGTCTCTGTCTTTCTCTGTCTCTGTCTCTCTCTGCCTCTGTCTCTCTGTCTATGTGTCTCTCTCTCTGTCTGTCTCTGCCTCTGTTTTTCTC